CCCCGACCCAAAGACACCTCGGAACTGTACTTTGTTAAGGGTGTTGGAAATTGTAGCTCTGTGGGTGGTAAACTGCAGTTCCCAGGAGGAGGGAAATGTGCTTTCAATGTATATGCTGCGCTCTGAAGTTCCAGGTGGAATCTCAGAACCTATGGAAGAGAAGCGAATCAGACTCTGCTGCTTTGTAATTGTGGGGGGGAAAATCCCTAAATATGTTACAGGGGGTAGATAGGGAATGGTCACTGTGTGTATGGGCAGGTTTATATTAGTGGGTTGCTAAAGGATGCACAAGGAGAAGGGGACGACAGAGGACAAGATGGTTGGATAGTGTTCTCAAAGCTACCAGCATGAGTTTGACCAAACTGCGGGAGGCAGTGGAAGACAGATGTGCTTGGCGTGCTCTGGTCCATGGGGTCACGAAGAGTCGGACACGACTAAACAACAACAAAGGATGCTAATAACTCAAAGCTACATTGCTGGACCCAACCAAGCTTGTGCAAAAAGGCATCAACTCAATAACTGCAGCAATGCTAGATGCTGCTATAGGGAAGACCATTCTATACATCCTGGACCCAAATGGTATGACTTAGTCATTTTGTGGATCAGACTTTTTAAAAAACCATCCTTTCCTCCAAGCACTGAGTGACAGAAACAGGCAGTAAAAGGAATCTTACTAACAAGATATCAACACACCAAAGAGTTACTTTTTCTTTAAAAAAAAAAAAATAGCCCAAGGTAGAAGACTGCAGTTTAGAACTAGTGATCCTTTGATAAATTCAATTTCCCAAATGTTTAATTAACTACTATGTGCAATTTAGTGGTGTTTAATTTGGTATGCACATTCAAGATATACTGTGCTTATTCTTTCTTTTTCTTTTTTTCAAATAAAATCCTGATAGGCTACTAAAAGAATTACTACATATATTTCTCTCTTTCTCTGAAAGTGTCCTTCAGCCTTTCCTCTCATCGAGTTTGTTTCAGCCATTAGGAAGTGGGTGCACTTACTACAGTGGTCATATGAGAAACTGCTCGTGTGCACAGACTTACCATTTGAATTAGGCCATTTCCCTCCAAATCCTTCAGATGCAGGTTGTTAAGTTGTGGGCGAACATATCAGACGACACAGCGATTCTTCCAAAGCAGCTCTTTATTTGTAAGCTGGAACAGAACTAACTGAGGAGCTCAGTCAGCCTGCTTATATAGAGCTCCAGAACAATGTAACTGTTGCCATTTTCTAAAACTATCCAATCACTGAACGTCACTTTCGATCCTTCATTTGCATAACTATCTACAGTATCCCCCTGCTGGCCCAGGGTGAGAACTTCAGTACATAACAGCCCTCCCCACTGAGATAAGGCGTTAGTTACAATCGTAATGGTTTCCTTATATACAGCACTACACGTAATGGTTCAATTAGGCACAAAAGCCTATCGGTTACATTTCACATACTTAGACCAACAGTGATACATGTCCAACAACATAGTCCTTTAAATAAGTTAGGTGCTTGGAAACTCTGCCAGACCGCCGGGGACTGGTAGCCAAGTCTGGGGGGGCCACCCAATTCTTGCTGAGGCTGTGGTGCGACCCTAGGTGGCGTTGAAACCAAGTCCCCTGGATCTGCTACTGTGGGTGGAGCCTCCGCAAGTGGAGTGGTCTGAGTCTGTGGTAAGTCTGGCAGACCCTCTGAAGTGGCTTGGTTCGACTCCACGCTGGCAGTTTGCGAGAGAGGTGGAGCCTCACCATCTGTAAGTGTCTCTTCCGGAGCCACGAGCACAGTTGGGGGCACCACGGTAGTGTCCAAGTCCTCAACCTTGCGCCTAAGCTGGTCTATGTGCCGGCGCCACAAGCGTCCGTCTTCGAGTGCCACCTGGTACGAGCGAGGTCCAATGACTCCCACTACTGTGGCTGGCACCCAAGGAATGTCCCCCACATAGTTCCGGGCAAAGACCTGGTTTCCTGGAACAAATGACTGTGGCGCATTGGCACAGCCTGTGGGTTCGGCCACGGCAAAGTCCGGGTGTAGCCGGTTGAGCGGAGACCTGAGGCGGCGGCCCATAAGCAGTTCGGCAGGACTCTGCCCTGTGGCCACATGAGGGGTGATGTGTTGCATGAACAAGTATTCGGCGACCCACTTGTGCCAGTCTCCCCAGTCCAGGCGCGCCACTGCCTCTTTTGCCGAGCGCACCATTCTCTCCGCTTGCCCATTGCTGGATGGATGAAATGGTGCCGTTAGGGCATGGCGGATGCCCAGTCCCAAAAGATACCGCTCAAAAGTGCCTGACATGAACTGCGGTCCATTGTCAGAGACAAGGACATCAGGACACCCATGCCTCGCAAAGAGGCCTCGCAGCACCCGGATGATGGCCTCGGTAGTGGTGGAGGGCATCAGGGCCACCTCCAGCCATTTGGAATAGGCGTCCACCACTACCATAAAGGTCCGGCCGTGAAAGGGGCCGGCCAGATCGATGTGCACCCTCAACCAGGGTGTCTTGGGTGTCTCCCAGGTGTGTCCCTTAGCTGACGTGGTACAGGCCTTGATTCTGTCGCGATTCCTTGCGGCGCTTTTAGCAGAAACGCTCAGAGTCCCAGGGTTTTCCAGTGCAGTCTTTTTAATGTGAGCTATATACAGGTATTTACAAAAACAGTCCATACAGAGTACCTGCTCCTTAAGGCAAACGAATACTCTCCACCACAGCATCACCATACCACAGCACAACCACCACAACCACAGTTACTGTTGAACAGGCTTTCCTTTTTAAAACAGGTGATAGCCAATCACATTAATCACACTCCTGCTGAGTCACTCTGACCCAGCACTTCACAGAGTATTGCATCATCCTGTTGAAGCCTGCAGACTTACTCAGTATCAAGCGAATCCCAACAGATTCTTGGCACGCTTGACAGGCGGACACCCAGGCAGTGAGGGCATCGTCCATGTTAGGCCACCAGACATAACACTGAGCCAATGCCTTCATTTTGACGATTCCTGGGTGGCCAACGTGCAGAGCATCCAGGACGCGTTGACGGAGTCTTTGGGGAATCACGACGCAGTCTCCCCACAGCAGACAGCCACGATGAGCCGAGAGTTATGTTGTCTGGTTGTGAACGGTTGGAACTCCGATGCAAAAGGCCCTTGTGGTCACCCCATCCACACCCAGTTGAGCACAAGGCTGATGGTGCGATCCTGGGCAGATGCGGAGGCCACAGTGGCAGCCGATACAGGCGCTGCCGGAAGATCCTCAATCAGGAGGAGCGATGAAGCAGGAGCCGGGTCTTCCACAAACGCTGGAAGAGGGCAACGGCTGAGGGCATTGGCATGGCCCATTGATTTCCCTGGGCGATGGACGAGCCGGTAGTGGTAGGCAGCCAGGAAAACAGTCTATCGCAGCATGCGCGGCGAGAGGACCGGTGGAGTTGGACGATCACAGGCGAGGAGGCCCAGGAGCGGCTTGTGGTCAGTGATGAGGTCAAAAGTCCTGTCGTAGAGGTATTCATGGAACCTCTTCACTCCAGCCACAAGTGCCAGTGCCTCCTTGTCGAGCTGGCTGTAATTCCGTTCAGTGAGAGATAGCGTCCTGGAAAAGTAGGCGAGCGGTGCTTCTCTTCCGTCTGGAAAACGGTGACTAAGGACAGCGCCGCTGCCAAAAGGTGAGGCGTCGCAGGCAAGGACCAGCGGCCTGGCTTCACTGTACTGTACCAGCACACTGTCCGATGAAAGGAGAGCCTTGACCGCGTTGAAGGCCTCCGTTTCCCGATGACCCCAGGACCAAGGCGTCTTTGTGCTGAGGAGTCGGTGAAGAGGCTCAGCCACCGTGGCTTTGTGGGGCAGGAACATGTTATAAAAGTTCAGCAGCCCCAGGAACGCCTGCAACTCTGTCTTGTTCTTTGGGATGGGGGCCTGCTGGATAGCACGGATCTTGGATGTGGTCGGGTGAAGGCCGGAGGCATCAATAAGATAGCCCAGGAACTCCACCTGTGGAACGGCGATCTGGCACTTCTCCCTCTTTACCTTGAGCCCAGCCTCCTGGAACCTGGTCAGCATGGCACGGAGGCGCTCGAACAGCTGCTGGTGTGAGTCTGCGGACACCAAGACGTCATCAAAATATGGTACCACGCCCGGAAGCCCTTGCAGGAGACGCTCCATAAGGCTTTGGAAGATGCCAGGAGCCACACTCACCCCGAACTGCAACCGGTGGCAACGGAATGCCCCTCAGTGGGTAACGATCGTCTGGGCTTCAGCAGTGGCATCATCGACGGGCAATTGTTGATAGGCTTGGGCAAGGTCCAGCTTAGCGAAGACCTTACCCTCACCCAGGGAATGCAGCAGGTGTTGGACAACAGGAACCGGATAAGCGTGCTGCTGAAGTGCCTTGTTGATTGTGCACTTGTAGTCAGCGCAGATTCTCACCGACCCGTCTGGCTTGACAGGTGTGACGATGGGGGTTTCCCACTTGGCGTGGTCAACCGGCTCCAAAACTCCTTGGGCGATCAGCTTGTCCAGTTGTTCGTCCATCTTAGCCTTGAGAGCAAAGGGAACCCGGCATGGCTTTAGCTTGATGGGGGCGACTTGTGGATCAAGGCTAAAGGAGATGGGTGTACCTGTATATTGCCCCAAAGTGCTGTCAAAAACCTCGGCAAAGTCTTTGACCAGATCCTCAGTCTCTACGTTAGAGATGCAGTTGATGCCGGTGACTTCCAGGCTGAGGGCATCAAACCAGTCTAGCCCTAGGAGGCTTGGCCGCTGACCTTCGACCACCACCAGTCGGAGCAGGCCCAAAAAAATCCTTGAAAGCGATCCGGAACCGGCCAAAGCCTACCACGGGAATGTCGTTTCCCTGGTAGTCTCTCAGGTGTACGCGGTGAGAGTCGAGTTGCCTTTTGGACACTCTGGGTACCAGTCTTTTGATGGTGCTCCAAGACACGATGGACAGGGCAGACCCGGTGTCAATCTCCATGTCACATGGAGCTCCTTCAATGAGCACCGTGACGTTCAGCTTGCGTCACGTAGGCGAGTCGGTTTGGCCAATCGTGGTTCCAGATGGGCAGCGGCAGTTGGAGAGAGCAAAACAGCTTTCCTTGGCAGACTGGAGTGAAGACTTGGACTTGCGAGTCGGTGAAGGGGGGGTGTCAGACAGAGCTGATCGGCAGACCTTAGCGATGTGGCCCCTTCTGGAACACATCCAACAGATGGCGTCTCTGAATCGACACTTGGCACGGGAATGGTTGCCTCCACAGCCGGCACATTCCGGTTGGCCCTTGGACTTCTGTTGGAACTTCCTGCGCTCCCGCTTTGTCTGGTTCACGTCATTGTCTTCACTGGAGGATGCCTCATCACTGCTGGCCTCTTCGTGATGCACTGGAACTGGCTTCCTAGCAAGACACGGGCTGCTGGCCTTGCGGATCTCCTGGGCAGAGCGTTCAGCAACTTCCGAGGCCACAGCCTCCTCAATGGCTTTCTGTAGTGTGAAGTCTGGCTTGGCGAGGAGACGCTGTTGCAGATGGATGTCCCGGACCCCGCAGACAATTCGATCCATCAGGGCATTGTCTAAGTCTCGGAACTCGCAGTGCATTGCAGCCTGTCGCAGGGCGGTGGTGTAGTTGTTGATTGACTCCCCCTCTGCCTGGTTCCAGTGCTAAAACGCATGGCGGGCAGCAATCTTGGACGGCTTTGGCGTGTAGTGGTTGTGGAGCTTCTCTTGGATCGTGTCCCATGGTGTTGCCTGGACTGCTTCAGGCACAACCAATGCTCGGGCCGTCTCAAACACCTCAGGCCCACAGAGGCTGAGGAATAGGCCCCGCTTCCGTTCCTTTGATACTGCTGTCAGCTCGTTGGCTTGGAGGTAGCAGTCGAACCGAGCGAGGTAGGAGTCCCATGATTCAGAGGCTGGCGCAAACGGTGGTAGAGGCACAAGTGAAGCCATGATTCCGATGCCGGCGTGAAGGGTGATGGATGGAACACAGTGCTCTAGCCAGAACAGTCAGCTCTGAATTGGTTCTGTTCAGTGATTTCACTCAGTGATTTCGCTCAGTGATTCAGCTCAGTTCAGAGGATGGCCGCAACTGGCTGTGCTCTGATGTCCATCGATCCTACCTTCGTCGCCAGTGTTAAGTTGTGGGCGAACATATCAGACGACACAGCGATTCTTCCAAAGCAGCTCTTTATTTGTAAGCTGGAACAGAACTAACTGAGGAGCTCAGTCAGCCTGCTTATATAGAGCTCCAGAACAATGTAACTGTTGCCATTTTCTAAAACTATCCAATCACTGAACGTCACTTTCGATCCTTCATTTGCATACAAACTATCCAATCACTGAACGTCACTTTCGATCCTTCATTTGCATAACTATCTACAGTATCCCCCTGCTGGCCCAGGGTGAGAACTTCAGTACATAACACAGGTGATCAATAGGAATAGGGGATATAATTCAGGTTTCATCTAAAGGCAAACCTATATAATATTAACTTTCTGAAACAGTACGAGAACCAAAACACACCCGTCCTTTGGAATTCTCACTTCTCCAGATCTTGCAATGCAGATCTACAGCCAAGAAATGCATATGTCCATAACACATCTATTTGTGAAAATAGCGTACACAAATTCACTAGGTGAAATTGCTTTCCAGAAATGTGTATTTTAGTAAAAAAATTGCATTAAATTTGCATTAAATGCTGATGAATTTTCAGGAGGTCATTTAAAAAAAAATCACAAACTGATTTAGAAATATGGAGAGCTGGAAAAATGGGAAATGGAGAGAAACCAAAAAATGACAGGTTTGCCCATCCCCAGTGATGGGCTGGTGCACGATGTGAGCAGTTCACCATTTAAAGACAACAGTAATATGTGTTCAGCTCCTCACTCACACTGATAAAACAGCTTAATATTTGAAATCCTCCTGGTGGGATTTTAATTTGGTCCCATACTAAGGCAAGGGTAGTTCAACTTTTGCAGGCCAAGGGCTGCAATGACCCATAGTCAACACTCCAAGGTCCACTTGTTAAATTTGACACCTTGGAAGAGCCTCATAGAATCACAGTGGGTACAGACAATTAAAAAAATATATGGAGAAATTGGAGAGGGAGAGAAGCCACACAAAAAAACTACCTTAGCACCATTGCATCACAGCAGGGGCCCTGAGGCAGAAGTCAATAAGGTTTTTTGGGAAGGGATTGATGGTCTTAGAGGCACCTGGCGAAATAGGATAGCCATGCTTTCTTATGACGCAACAGTGATACTGTGGTTTTAGGAGCAATATGGCGATTGAAGATAACAACCACAACAGACTGATTTCCCTGTTGTGCATGGAGTAGGTACAGAGAAACTTACACCTTTAACTCCTGTCCTTTACAGAGTTGCCTTTTGTAAGATTCTAAGCTATATCCATATTTCTCATTTAGTTCATGCAATTATTTGAAACTTTTTCTGCATAGCTTGAATATTGCAGGAAAGTTATTTTTAAAAATGGCTCTGTGTTGGACCTGACCTTAGCTACAATGGACAGATAATTATTAGCTGTCAAATTAGTATGTTTAATCAAGCTGCTGTACTTAAGTGTGCTTTAAAGAGAGAGTGAGGAATCTGAGGATGTCTGAAAGGCTTACTTTATGATGCTTTGTAATGGAAATCTATTAATGATTTTCTCTATTCAGTCATTGGTTTAATAGGATTCATTAATTGTTCCAAATTTTATCAATGTGAATTAAGACCTTATTAGTCGATGCTAAACATTCAAATACTCCATGGGTTGAAGAATATATGCTTGAATGAAATGTATGTACTGACATCACTTGCTAATTCTTCTTTTACACACAGTGGCGTAGCGTGGGTTGTCAGCACCCGGGGCAAGGCAAGTAATTTGAGCCCCCTAACCCGTGGATTTTAGTAGGGGCAGAGAGCTGCGAGTGTGAGCGCGCCCCCCCAGATGTTGTGCCCGGCGCGGCCAGGCCCCCCCTGCACCCCCCACGCTACGCCACTGTTCACACACACAGGCTTCTCAGTTGAGTAAAACTACTACTGCTTATAATATTTAGTTACTCCATTATCCTGTCCCTCCTCCATGGAGTTGAGGCCAGCAAAACTAGTGAGTGTCCCAAGTTCACCCAGAGACCTTCGCAGCTGAATAGGGATCAGTTGTACAAGCCATTATGTTGTACAAATCATTATGCCAAACGAGCTTTCAATCAGATTTCTTAATAGTCAACCATATAGTATTTTTTCCTGAAATGCTCAAACCATTTCACATATTTAATCCGAAAAATAATTTCAAACAATAGCCATGTGGGGCAGATCCCATATGATATAAATGGAGGAGGAACATGGAGGGGTGGTTATTATTTTTACTATTATTATTATTATATCCCGCCCTTCCGGCTGGGCTGCCCCAGCCACTCTGGGCAGCCCCCAGCCAAATGTAAAAACATGTCTTCTAAAAGTTGCATAGTTCATTATCTCTTTGACATCTGATTGGAGGGCATTTCACAGGGAGGGCGGCACTGCCGAGAAGGCCCTCTGCTTCGTTCCCTGTAACTTCACTTCTCACAGTGTGGGAACCCCCAGAAGACCCTCGGAAATGGAGCTCAGTGTCCGGACTGATTGATGTGGGTGGTGACGCTCCTTCAGGTATACTGGGCCAAGGTCGCTTAGAGCGTTAAAGGTCAGTACCAACACTTCGAATTGGTGTTTGTTGGTTTATGGTCATTTGCTGTGCTCATGACTACGGCTACAATCCTAATCCCATTTATCTGGGATTAAGCCCCACTGAATTCAATAGGGTTTACTTCTGAGTAGACATAGTTAGGCTTGCACAGGGCTGGAAGTGTATTTGGTAACTTTTAGGACTAGTTTTGGTGCTAACTTTCCTTTCTTTGAAAAGAGAAGTGTCTCCCCACTAGCACCGTGTGAGAAATAAAAAGAAAACTCAAAGTAACTTATGGCTCCAAGGTGCCATTTCTTATATATTAAGCAGTTTAAATTAAGGGAGAAAGTAAGGAGAGAAAAATAATGCACCGCATGGAACTGAATACTCACTGCGAACCAGTCACAGATAGCAGCTGTTCATTTGCTTTTGAGGGAAGCAGTGTATGTATTTAAAAAGGCCACAGGTAACCAAGGATTGTGGGAGAAGCATTGCTGAATAGCTCTCATTCTTTGAATATATCATTTACTTTCTGACACATCTTCTTTCAGTTACATCTCTCAAAACAGTGATGATCCGTGTAGCAAACTGTATTCTGTTACCTGAATACTCTGGAGTACTGCATAGCCAGATGTCAGCGAGAGTGCCAAAATGAAATGTCTCTCTTGCATTTTATTTTCAACCCCTTCACATGGCTATCAGGGAGGCTTGCATACGATTCAGATGACTGGATAGCAAACAGGATTTCTGTACAATGAGCAGTTGCCAAGTAAAATGAAAGCCGGTGCTTTCAAAACAGCACTGTTCAGTTCGCCATAATAAAGACTTTCTGTGGTTTCATCTAATGTTGGAGCTTTGCAGCCAGGTAAGATCATTTTGATATTGGTGCCTTCTTTCAGTTTCTCTTAGTTTCTCATTTTTTTCCAAATCTTAAGATCAGTTTGCCAAATTTATATATGTAAAAAAAAAGCCTCACTAGCATTTTAATGTGCATTTATCCTAATATACACACATTGACAAGCAATTTTCCTTAATAAAATGCATTTTTGGGCATATTATTTTCACTAGCACATACTTTTTTATACCCATCTTCCTCTAACAGATGCACTTTGTACGGAATTATGTTGTTGTGTTGTTTTGTACGGAATTGTGTTGGTGTGTTGGAGAAGTGCGTTGCAAAATTTGCAAACACATGAACTTAAAAGGATAGCAGCATATCAGTTTGCATATTTTTGTGGGGGGAATGCATATTAGGTAGGTTTACCATAAAATATGATTTGAGCTGAATCTGTCCCCTCTCCCTGTCCCTCCTTCCCTCTTTCTTCTTCTAAGATGCTTCCAGCTGCAACTCATCTAAAAGTGACATCAAGGTGGCCTTTTTAGGAGTGTTAATCAATGTGAGCATTCACATTTATAATGTAGAGTGAGGAAGGAAGAAGCAAATGAACTGAAGAAATTGACATCTGAAGCAGTTCTGGCAAACTGCACACCCTCCAGTTCCTAAATTGATTCAACAAATTCCATTGTACATCTGGCATTTGGGAAAAGAAACAAAGAGCAGAGTGAAGCAGAGGAATATAGTAACTTTGTCTTACACCAGGCATAGGCAAACTCAGTTCTCCAGATGTTTTGAGACTACAATTCCCATCATCCCTGACCACTGGTCCTGTTAGCTAGGGATGATGGGAGTTATAGTCCAAAAACATCTGGAGGGACGAGTTTGCCTATGCCTCTTATACTGACTCAGAGCTAGGGATGCTTAAGAAACAAGAGCAGAAATTACCAATGTTCACATATTCATCCCATCTCCATAATGGAAATCAAACTAGAAAATATGATTGGTTTTCAGTGTTGGTATTTCAGTCTGCAAACATTACGGAATTGATCATTTCCCCGCACAGCACTTGCATTCTGTTTCCTTTGCACTTAAATGAATG